TTTGGGCCACTGACTTTCTGCCATCTATACCAGCTTGGGGGCCTGGGCGCTACTCCCGTGAACCAGTGGGTATCTGAGTCTGGGCCGCTGTGGGGCGGGCCCGACAAGAGTGGGGGCAGCAGTGTCGGCCTGGGGCTTTGGGAGGACACCATCAAGAGCAGCGGGAGCCTGGCCCGCAGCCTAGGCCTGAAGAACAGCCGGAGCAGCCCCTCCCTCAGGTGGGTGCCAGGGCCCGCAGGGTCTGGGCTGGGGCTGGAAGGATGGAGAACACCTGAACTCATCTCTTGCCTCTAATCCTTCTTTATCCAACCTAGTGACTCGTATAGCCACCTGTCTGGTCGGCCTGTGCGCAAAAAGACAGAGGAGGAAGAGAAGCTGCTGAAGCTGTTACAGGGCATTCCCAGGCCCCAGGATGGCTTCACCCAGTGGTGTGAGCAGATGCTGCACACCCTGAGCACCACGGGCAGCCTGGATGGTATAGGGGCAGACTCTGGGAGGCTGGGCTGGGCCAGAGGTGCCAGACCTTGCACCAGGTGGGCCCTGACAGCCACCATCCTGCCCTATAGTGCCCATGGCTGTAGCGATCCTCAAAGAGGTGGAATCCCCCTATGATGTCCACGATTATATTCGTTCCTGCCTGGGGGACACGCTGGAAGCCAAAGAATTTGCCAAACAATTCCTGGAACGGAGGGCTAAGCAGAAAGCCAGCCAACAACGGCAACAGCAGCAGGTGAGGTTTCACATCCCCTGCAGGTGAGGGTGAGGTTGCCCAGCACCCTCCTGACTCCCTCTCCCTTTCTGCTGCCTGGCAGGAGGCTTGGTTGAGCAGCGGCTCTCTGCAGACCGCCTTTCAGACCAACCACAGCACCAAACTTGGCCCTGGGGAGGGCAGCAAGGCCAAGAGGAGGGCCCTAATGCTACACTCGGACCCTAGCATCTTGGGTATGTTTTGGGGGTGGGGTCAGTAAGGAGGCTCCTTCCTCAGCTTGGAGCAGGCACCTGTGGGTGAAAGAGCTCAAACCCAGCTTCTTCTGGCTTCAGGGTACTCCCTGCATGGACCTTCTGGTGAGATCGAGAGCGTGGATGACTACTGACCAGCCCGTCCCACCAGCCCCCCTGGGCTGTAGGCCAGGGGCAACAGCAGCAGTTTGGACTCTTGGGTCCCCAGCTTGCAGGCTCCCAGCAAGGAGCATAGGAGGAAGCAGGGGCAGGGTCCCCAGCACTTGTTACAAACCACACGATGCACCTTAACTCACCCACCACGAGGCACTTTAATAGATTGGGGGGAAGGTTTTTTTTTCCTTTTCTTTTAAAAAAATTTTAAACATTGAAGAAAACGTTAGGAGAGACGTAATTGTTAAAAACTAGACTCTAAGCACCCCTTCCCCCTCTGGGGATTGTGGGGGTGACAATGGAAGGTCCACAGAGTTTTTGGTTTTGTTGGGTTGTTTTTTTTTTAAGAAAAAAGAAAAACAATGAGGAAAAAAAAAAGGAGGCTGAAAGAAAACACACACTGTTATTTTTGGGCAGTGGGGACATGGCCCCATCGGTCTGTCCTGCCTGGCCCCCAAGGCTGCACTTACTCTCCCTGCCCTGCCAGGTGGGCCATTGAGGTAACTGGAAGCTGGGGTGCCAGCAGTTTGCACAGCGACGTCCCCTCAGCCCCACCGGCCGGACTGCTGTGAAAGGCCCCCTTATTGCTATGAATATCGAAGAGGTTTCAGCAGGGAACAATGGGGTCGGGGCTAAACGGAGCCCCTTGGCTTTGCTGCTTTGGGGGAAAGTTGCACAAATGGGCCAGGCCACCTCCCGTCCCCAGGTGGCTGACGGGGTAGATGGCAGAGGGCCAGCCAGTGCCAACCTCATCTGGCTGTCAGGACAGCAGAACTTCCACTCTGGCCCTGGTGAGGGGCTTCCCCCACCACTGCTATTAGGGGAACTGGGTGTGAAGCTGGAAGCCCAGCTCCCTGCCTTGCCACATGAATGTATTCTTTGGGCCATAAGCCCCTGCTGCGTCCCTTCGAGTGAGGTGGGGCAAACTAGTTCCTTCTGGGGCTGGAGAGAGGCACCACTTAATGGCTATTTCTCCTGTGAAGGGGGTGAGAGGAGGGGCCCAGGAGGCCAAGGGAGTGGACAGCTTGGGGCTTCAGGTTGCAGTGTGGCGGCTGTTAGAAGGGAGCTTTCCACCTGTAGCCAGCTGGCTATGGGATGTGGACCACCCAGCTCTGCCCTGACCCCTCCATTGACCAAACTGGAGAGGAGTGAGTGGCTTCTCCCCTCCCTACTCCCCTGATACATTTTTAATGTTGGGCAAGGTGGGGGGTGGGGGGGGGTCAAGAATGGATGTGTCGTTTCGCCTACGTCAGGGGGAGGTGGTCCTTCTGCTCATGGACCTATTCCCAATCACCTGCCTGGGTTTGTCTTCATTTGTGTGTGTGTGTGTGTGTGTTTTAAGTTTGTTTTATCTTTTGGGTTTCTCGCCTAATTTCTCCTATTGACCTCACTGCTCAGAGTGCAGTATTAGGGCAGGATTCTGCCACTGCCTCCCCTCCATGAATGTATTTCTCCTTCCTGCCCTGGGGAAATGGGGAGTGGCCCCAGTTTTTCCCCCCACCCATCCCCAGAGAGACCATGCGTTTTTTGTTTGTTTTGGAGTGGTTGTTTTTGTTTGTTCGTTTGTTTTTGCACCAAAGTGGCAACTGGGTCAGTGTTGGGGGAATAAAGCTGGCCTTGAGGGGTGGAGCGGCTCCCTCCACCTGCTTCTCCCTGGTTTCAACAGTGTTAGCGTCCGTGAAAAGACAATATTCTCTCTAAAGCAATAAGGGGGTGATGGGCCAGGGTGAAGTGTCTTGCTGCTGCTGGCCCCCCAGCTCCCCTTTTCCTTGCGCCAGTATTTGGCGGCATTAGAGGTGTGGGGGGAGTACTGTTGTGACTGAATGTAACTGCCCCCACCCCTGCCGCAGCCAATGCAGGGGGAGGGGGGATAACACTCTTCCCCTCTCTTCCTTCCCCTCCCCCCTAGCTAAAGAGACTTTGAGCCTGGAGAGGCCTTAACCCTGTGAGGAAGTGTAGGGGGAACCCTCTCCCACCCTGTCCCCTTCTGAGAGTGGTCAATGTTTACAAGCCCCTGAGCCCTCCAAAGCCCAGGGACTCATTCCCCCCATTGCTATCCTTTCCCAGCCCATCTTCCTGGGCCCTGGCTGCTCTCCTGCCCTTCCTGGGGTTGGGGTGAGGTGCAGGGGCCTTCTGTATCCCCTTGTCTGCCTTGTACCCGAAATCTCCCCACCCTGTTACTCCTCCCTCTTCTACCTGCCCCTGTAAATACTACCCCCAATAAAACTTGGTGTGTGTTCCCTTCAGCTTCTGCATCTTTTTGGGGAAAGAGAGTGTAGGAGGAGAATCAGAACTGGGAATTCAAAAGAACTGCGGACATGGTGTGGTTCGTCAGTCTGAATGGAGGGCTGTGTGTGTTCTCAGGAGGAATAAATACATACAACCCTGCTGGGGAAAAATTCCTGCCTATGACTCCAGCTTTGGTCTGAGGAAAAGTGCAATTTCCTCTTGGGCCCCCTACCCCAGTGATGGCGAACCTTTTGAGCTCAGCGTGTCAGCATTTTGAAAAACCCTAACTTAACTCTGGTGCTGTGTCAGATCTTTTTGATCTTTGCAACCATAGTAAAACAAAGATTTATATCTTTGATATTTATTTTATATATTTAAATGCCACTTAACGGAAAATCAACCAAAAAGAGTTAGCGTGTCACCTCTGACACGTGGGTCAGGTTCGCCATCACTGCCCTACCCCCAAGCTGATATGCCCTACCCAAAGTAAGGAAGACACAAGCAAGAGGAGAGACCAGGTACAGAGTTGGAATTGGTTCCTTTATGGAAAAACTGAAAATATAATAAAAATTAAAATAAAACCAGTTTTAAAAAAGCCAGCCCCTGGAGTTTCTACCTCCTGCCTCTGACCCTCCAGGGGGATGAGGCCCTGACCCCAGGGCAGCTAAAGAAGGAGGGCTTTCTGCCTCTCTTCCCCCATTCTATTCCCATCTTTATTTCCACAGTGGGGGCCCCGGGAGGAACCAAACCTGGGTAGGGGAGCAGGGACCCAAGGCCCTATGGCCAGGGGAGGGAGGCTCATGTGCCCCAGCCCCAAAGCTCCCGGCCTGTAGTGTGGGCGTGGGCAAGGCCCCTCCTGGCCGGGCCCAGTTGGGGTTGGGGCTGTTAGTTCCAGATCTTGAGGAAGGAGTCCCAGGAACCTGTGGCCACAGCCATGCCATCATCTGTGACCCCGAGGCAGCTCACACGGTTGTCATGGCCGGCGAGGACACCTGTGAGGGAGGGGTACATCAGAACTCATCTGTCCTGGTTCCCTGTCCTAGCCTATCTCAGCCCAGCACCCAGGTCTCACCTGCACGGTCGCCCTTCATGGCATCCCAGATGTTGCAGTTGAAGTCGTCATAGCCAGCAAGCAACAGCCGGCCACTGCGAGAGAAGGCAACAGAGGTGATGCCGCAGATAATGTTGTCATGGGAATACATGAGGAGCTCCTGGTCCGCCCGCAGGTCGAAGAGGCGGCACGTGGCATCATCAGAGCCAGTGGTGAAGGCATAGCCGTTGGGGAAGAACTACAGGACACAACCAGAGTGGAATAAGGGCACAGAGCAGGGCCAGAAGCCTGGTAGAGGGGCCAGCCAGCCTGCCCAGAACTTACAGCCACAGCATTGATGTCGGATTCATGGCCAATGAAGGTCTGTCGGCACATTGAATCCCGAACATCCCATAGCTTGATAGAGGCATCACAGGCACCTGACACGAAGGTGCGGCCATCGGGGGCCAGCGACAAGGACATCACATCCCCACTGTGTCCAGCAAAAGCCACTGTCTGCTGGCCTGTCTCAATGTCCCACAGGGCACTAGCGAGGGGACAGGAAGAAGGAAAGGATCAGAGAGAAGGGCAGAGAGGACTCTTGCCTCCCTACCCCTCCACCATGTGAGCCCAGCCCTGACAGCTTCCAAGGAAGGGGCATCAGGAGCCACTGACTCACAGAAGCCTACTCTTGTCTCCTTCCCACCACAGGAGTCTAGATGTTCAGAATAAGAGCTCTGCCCTCACTTGCTCAGGCTGTGTGTGCTACATGCTAAGCACTGGGGCAGTGTTCCCTCAGGCAGGAAGTGTGGATGACAGGGCCTCACCAGGTGGTGTCCCCAGAGCTGGTGATGATTTGGTTGTCATCCAGGAAGCGGCAGCAGGACAGGTACCCTGCGGGAAAAGGCTGGTCAGCCAGGTCTCTAAGGGAGAGCAGCACAGCCCCTACCCCACCAACAGCACCTATGTCCTACCAGGCCCCCCTTACCAGTATGGCCAGGCAGCTCCCGGCTGACCCTGACATTGCCCTCACGGGTCTTGAGGCTGTAGATGGAGCAGATGTTGTCCAACCCCCCACAGGCTACAAAGTTCCCTGAGGGCGCGTAGGCACAGGTCATAACCCAGGAGGAACGTAGCGGGATGGCATGGACCTAGGGAGGAGGGGCAATGCCCAGGGTCAGAAACCAGGCAGGGCCTGCAGCCCAGCCCCATCCAGCCTCAGGATCACCTCTACCTTGTTGGTGGTATAGCTGTCCCAAATGATGAGCTTCCCATCCTGGGAGGCGCTGACCAGCAGCCTGTTGAAAAGTGGCAAGGGAGAGACGGGTCAGGGTGTGAAGCCCCCTCTGGAAGGACACTCTTACCAGCGTCCCATCTGGTGGGAGGCCCTTCTGAGACAACTCCCAGCAACAGTCCAGAAGTTCCTGTCAGTATGGTCCTCTTTCCAATCCCCTCAACATATCTGGGAGTCACAGTCTTCCCAAACATACAACATGGGCATCCTGTTCATCTCTGTAGATCTGCAAGGCTGCCCCTCACTACTCCAACTGCCTGCTATAAACTCAGCCCAAGGGCAAACACAAAAGCTCAGTCCCAACCACGCACACACCTTGAGTCTGTCCCCCAGTGCATCGCATAGATTTTTGCCAGGTGCCCACGGAGGGTCCTCCGTGTCCTCATCTGGATTCTCCCCACTGGGTCCAGCCCAGCTGTGATCTGGAGGTGGAGGCAGCCAGGGTCAGAAGGCAGAGCCCACTAAGCAGCATGCCTCAAACCCTTGCTCCTTCCCTTAACCCCAAGCCCAGCACCGGGTTCATCTCACCTGGGTCAGTGTTGAATCCCCACATGCTTTTCGGGCATCCTGTAATATATAGCAGAACCAGTCAGAGAGGCAGAAGATGGGGGCGGGGGGGCCCTTCCTGGGCCTTAATTGTAGGGTGGGAGCACCCCCTGAATAGACTACCTGCCTCAGAAGATTGAACTTTGTCCCCAGAGTTTCAGAGAGCTCCTCGCCGCTGGCCCGAGGCCTGGGGGATGCAGGGCAGACGTCAGGCCCGAGGCCACGGGGAAGAAGGGGGGGAAGGCAGAGTTGAGGAGCACAGGAAGGAGTGAACGCCGGGCGGAAAGAGGGCGGCGGCGGCGGCCTCGGCCTCCCCAGCAGAACCCGGGCCTCTGCCGCAGGAGATGTGGCCTAGGAATAGCTTACTTCCCCAATCTTCCTCCCACCCCCCGGAAACGAAGCGGGAAGTGCAAGAGGAAGCGCAGGGGAAACCCCTCCCTCGGCAGAGGCCCGGGCGGGTTCCCGCGACAGGAACTGGGGGAGGGAGGGAGGTGAAGGGGGTGGAGAGTCCCTTCAAAACAGACCAGGCGTCCGCCCCGCCCACAAAGGCACCACCCAACTAGCACCTCATTTTAAAAGGGGCGGTGCCTCTTTAAATGCATCCCCACCAGCCGCACACCCTCCGCACACACCCCCCAAGCTTAGACTGGGGAGGGGGGAAGACGAGAGGGGTCAGCTGGGCTGTTCGTGGGGTTGCCTAGGCAACCGTCACCCGGAATGAGAGCATCTCATTGGTGAAGTGTCCCCACCCTAGCCCGGTTGCCAAGGCAACCGCATCCCAGGCAGAGACCTGTAGGGTGGGTGACCCCACCCCCGACCCCATCGCCCCCGCCCGACCCAGCCTCCTGCTCCTCCCCAGAACCGGCCAGGGTGGCTGTTGACAGGATTTGGGAAAAGCCGATTGGGCGCTAATGGGTTCGAGATGGCTCACCCCGGATCATCCTGTGGCCGGCTGCACACCCCAGCTCCCAGTCCCAGGGCTCATCACTGGGGCCCCCGGGGCCCGGCTGGCTCCGCTCCAGGGCCCAGAGTCCTGCCCCCACCCTTCGGGCACCTGTGTGATCTGCCCAGCACCCTGCGCCCGGACGGCCCGGGCGTCCCCCGCCCTGCTCCCACTTCCCCCAGACCGGGCGTTCCTCTTCCCCCTGACATTTCCCCTCGGCCAGTTCAGCTTTCTACGCCAGTGCCAGGGGTGCCCCCCGGGAAAGCGGGAAGGGAGCAGAGTCCCTCCACCCCCAGCTCCTGACAGAGCCCCTTCCTCCCAGCGGCCAGGAGCCCGGGCCGGATGGCAACGCCAGAGGCCAGGGCAGAAGGAAGCCGGTCCGGAGGAAGCCGCTGGGGGCGGGGCGGGGGCGATGCTCCCGGCCCTCAGTCCCAACAACCTCCAGGCTCCCTCAGGGTCCCCGAATTCTGGGCACACACAGCCGGGGTCGCAAGGAGGAACTGTGGTGCCCCCGCAACTCTGGCCAGGCGTAGGGAAGGGTACGGGGAGGGTCCCGGATCTTGCAGCTCAAAGGCGCAGGCCGGCACCGCGCTGCGAAGCTCTGTTGGCCTGGCTCTCCTGCCCCCACGACCTCCATTTTGCTCAAAAAAAATCTGGGCAGGGGGCGGGGGCTCCCGGGAGCTAAGCTCGGGGTGAGGACTGGTAAAGGGAGCGGGGTGACGAGGACTCCCTTCCAGTTAATGGGGCCAGAAAAGGGGCAGAACCCAAATCGAGGGTAGGATCGTGGCGAAGGGAAGGGTAGCCTCGCGGCCTTGCCTGCCTCTCTGAGGGTTCTGGAGTTTTGCAAGATGAATGCTACCGGGGGTACGAAATGGGAGGGCACGAGGGGTGCTACTCAGGGGCAAACTGGGGGAGGGGCGGAAGAAGGGGGCGGAACGGGGCCTAGAGGAAGCCCCGATTTTGTCCCCCACTTCTCAGGGAGCAAGAGGCAAGCGGAGCCCGGGTGGGACCGGGGGTCAGGCAAAAAGGGCCTAATGGTGCAGGGAGGGCGTGCATTATTGGAGCGAGGGTCCCCAGTTCCCCTTCCGGGTTTAGGAGCGACAGGGCCAGAGGAAGGGAGGGGAGGTCTGGGGAGTTACGTCCGCTCCCAAGAGGCCAGATCCGGGAGACGGAAGGAAGAAAGGTCCCCACCCCACCCCCCATGGGAATTTGGGGCAGGGGGGTGTGAGGACTCCTTCTGTCAGCACAGGTACCTGTGGCGGTGGGACTCTGCCAAGGGTCGCTGGAGAAGCGCGGGAGGTCCTGTCTTCCTCCGCGGCGGAGGCGGCAGCGGCGGCGACGCGGATGGATTTCCTCAATCACCCCAACTCAACCGCCCAGCGCTGTGCTCCCCAGAGCGGAGGGATCCCGCCTGCCAGTGACGCGGCCGTCGCCGCCGCGCCCAGGGCCCGGCTGGGCGAGACCAATTACTTAGTGGGGGGAGGCCGGAACGGAAAACACCATTTAAGGGGCAAAGATTGACTCCGTCAAAACGAAGCTGTTGCCCCACACTATTTCGACGCAAAACAGACCCAAATTAATGCTTGGCTTTCCGAAAAGGAGTAAGATATCCCCCCGGGGGCTGAAAGAGGTGGTATCGGCATAGGGGAGGGGGAAACCGCTCTCTGGTCACGTGACCTACACTCCCGGATTGGGTGGCTCCAGACTAGGAAGGGAAGCGCCACGCCCCGCTTCTCTGTTTGACCACGCCCCCAACCGATGAGACCACGCCCCTCGCCGGGAGTCGGAGCTGGGAGCTCCTGACCCGCCCAGGACTGGGCCTTCTGGAGGCAGAGGGAAGGGGCAGCAGTTCTGAAAATCTACGAGCAGGAAGAAATGGGTCTGCTGTGGGCCCTTGGGAGCTGGGCATGCCGTGGGAAGGGTCTTGCTGAGGCAGTTTCTCACCAAAGTGGGCTTTTGTAGAACTTTTTACAGGTCTGCATGACACTGGATTAACAACTCATTTATTGAGTTCCACGCTAACTTACTTCTCAGGAAAATACTATGACGTTAAGTACTAGCATTGTTTCCATTTTATAGTAGCAGAAGTGATTCCTAGGACTGCAGAGTAGAGATATGAACCAAGACAGCTTTAGCGACTTTACTATGCAATGGTAACACTAGTCTCTTCATGAATCCCCCTGAAAGGGATGAGACTGTAAGTATAGGCCTGTTTCCACCTCTGTAAAATGAGAGTGTTTACAACTACCTGCCCTGCAAGTCACCTTGGATTGTTATGAGATCCCCATGGATTTTGAAAAGGCTTTGGAAAGTTCTTGAATCCTCATGTAATTTAAAAGTAAAGTATCAAAACAGACAGTTTTTATTTAGCCTCTATTATAGGCATTAAAATAGTTTTCAAAGCACAAATTTTAAAGAAAATAAGAAGAAAGTCACATTCTTAGTTATGCACAAATTCCATTTATGTGAATCTACCAATTTAGTGATATATTAGCAATAGGTAATAGATGTCAATTTAATGTTACAACTTGGAAGGGACCTTACCGGTAATTTACTTCAATTTTCTCTCAATCTACAGATGGGCAAAGTGACTTCCCTAAAGTCACTTAGAAAACTAGCAGCCTAGGACTAGAACCCAATTTTGTTCATCTCTCTAGGGCATCTGAAATTGCTTCCCCTCACTTTAGTTTCTGTGCTAATATGCTTCCCTATTTTAACTCATTTAGCAAATATTTATCGAATCCGAATGATCTATCAGGCACTGTCCTGGGCACTGAGATTACAACTGGGAACACATGCACCCCTCTCTGTGTGCAGGGAGCTTGCAGTTTATAAAGGGAACAGATGGTAGATAATTATTTAAATAACAATAATCCTGGAAGTACCACTTACTAAGAGCAGAACATTTGAGAAGGGCCACATTTGAGAAGAACGATCAAGAAGTTTTTTGTTGTTGTTGTCTTTAATCCTCACCCAAGGATATGTTTTATTGACTTTAGAGAGGGAGAAACATCGATGTGAGAGAGGAACATGGATTGGTCACCTCCTAAATGCACCACAGTTGGGAATCAAACCCGCAGCCCTGGGTATGTGCCCTGACAGGGAATTGAACCCGAGACCTTTTGGTGTACGGGAAGGCACTCCAACCAATGACCCATACTGGCCAGGGCAAGAGTTTTAAGTTGGGATGTATTAGGTTTGAGGTATCTAGGAGAGGTGCAAGGAAGAATGTTCAGTAGGTGGCTGTCCAAACAGGTCTGAGGCTCAGCAGAAGAGTCTGGGTTGAATTAGATCCTTCAGAATGACGTTTTAGAGCATATGAAGTCATAAAGAGGTTCGGGGGAAAGACAAGATGGCCTGCGGTCAGGCAGAGGGACACAGATTGCCAAAGGAGAAGCCAGAGAGCTAAGAAGAAAATCAGGAGAATGTGAGTTTTGGAAACCAAAAGAAGAGAGTGTTCCAAAAAGAGAATGATGAACGGTGTTGAATGCTGAAGAGAGATGAAGCAAGACTGGACTGGGAAGTGCACATAGGATTGAGTAAAGCAGAGGCCACTGGTGACTTTGCCGGAGCATTTGCAAAGGATGTTCTGCTTGCAGTGGGCTGAGGGTGAGTGAGAAATGAGACAGTGGAGACAACCAAAGTGACCAGGGCTTTGGGAATCTTCACTTGGAGGGTGTAGAAAAGTGGAATATCAGTGGAAAGAGAAGGTGGGGTCCAGATATTTGTGTTTTGATGGGAGCTACTAGAGCAGCGGTTCTCAACCGGTGGGTCGCGACCCCTTTGGGGGGGTCTAACGACCCTTTCACAGGGGTTGCCTAAGACCATTGGAAAACACATATATAATTACATATTGTTTATTTTTTTGTTTTTCTGTTTGTTTGTTTTGTTTTTTTTTTATATTTT